GAACTTTGTCCAAATCGTTTTTAACTTGAAAGGTCAGATGCATGGACACAAGCACGCAACAATTGTACGTTTTCTCAGTGCTCGGTATTCGTATTCTTGTAATCCACAATGAGCTATTGTAAAAAAAAACACGCCTTTCTTAGCAAGTTCACCGCTGTTTGCAGCGCATTCATCTCAACTGGTATGAAATTGATTACGCGCAAAGCAAATGGGGCACGAATTGTGCATCTGACGTGCGCGCAGATTGCTTGTGTGGGGAGCGCACATTGCGGCGTGGTGTGCGCAGATTGATCCGGCATGGCCATCTCCACTTATCTATTTCCGCACAAAATTAGGTGTCACGCAGTAAGTTTCAGGTGACTGCGCACTTGCGGTTTTAATTTCATGTCCCTGGCACATGTCGCCGCCGAATAAATCGCCTAAACCTCCAATTCGCATCATTTTGGAAACTGACTCGACAAGGACGCATCGTGTACGCGTTTTCTCGGCATGTTTCGCGTCTCTTGTCAAGATTCGCGTATGGTCTCAATTTGGCGTCTCTGGCGCGTGTCGCCGTTGAAAAATGACGCGTTTTATCCAATTTGCATGAATTTTGGCTCGCTTGTCGACGAATTTATAGGCTAGAGCATGGCGCGTGTTGTATCGCTGAAGCGACGATCCAATTCCTAATTTATTGTGCTATGTTCAATTTTTTTTAAATACATGGGGATCAGAGGGGAGAAAAAAAGCAGCATCATCTACAATAGGGCATCTACAAGAAACTGATCTATTTTTGCAAGTACACGGTGACGTCGTCGTTGACCTTGCTGGCCTCGTATCCTTCGGGGGCGGCGGCGGAGATGGTCAATTCCTTGAGCGACTTGGCGAGGGCGATGATGGCGGGCTTTTCCGCGGTCAGCAGGGCCTCGACGGTGGCGTCGGTGCTTTGGATGGTGGCGACGACGTCCTTCTTTTGCTGCAGCTGGACGCTCAGCGAACGGATAGCCTTGGTGGTCTCAAAGACGAGATCAAATTGCTTGGCGGCGTCCTCATTGTCGTACGAGGGCTCGTTGACGGGGAACTTGGCAACGACGATGGAGCGCGTGGCATCGCCGGGGCGGCGGCCCAGACGCTGGAACAATTCCTCGGTGACAAAGGGTGAGAAGGGATGCAGCAGCTTGAGACCACCCTCGAGACAGGTGTACAGCGTGTTTTGCGCCGTGATCTTGCGCAGCGCCGCAGCCTCATCTTGCGTCGTGTCCGCATCGCAAACGGGCTTGATCGCCTCAATGTAAACGTCGCAAAGCTCGTACAACCAGAACTGGTAAATGGCATTGGTGGCGCCAAAGAAGTTGCGCTCCGTCAAACACTTGTTGACCTCGACCGTCGCCTTGTTGAACTTGTGCAAGATCCACTTGTCAGCGAGCGACTCGTTGCCGGAGGCCTAATTTAAAAAAAGAGGAAACATGTGAGCAATGCCCTTTTTAACCTTTTTTTTTTTGACATTTTTCTCATTTTTCTGTTCATTTCTTACCTTGGCGTCGGCAACGGGCTTAAAGTCGTCCCCAAGCTTCATCAGGGCAAAGCGAGACGCGTTCCAAATCTTGTTACAGAACTTGCGATAGCCCTCGACGCGCAAAATATCCAAATTGATATCGCGGCCACCCGTGGTGTAAGAGCAAAGAGCAAAGCGAAGCGCGTCGGTGCCGCACTCGGGGATACCCTTGGGGAAATCCGCTTTCTATAGACGCAAAAAAAAAAAAAAAAAATCAATATTTCACGTCCCAAAAAAAAAAAAAAAGCGTACCTGGCCAGCTTGCGCCTTTTTGACTTCCTTGTCGTCGAGATTGCCCTCCAACAGACGCTGGTGCAGGCCCTCCAAGGTGATACCCTCAATGACGTCGACGGGGTCAATGACATTGCCCAGACTCTTGGACATCTTGCGGCCGTGAGCATCACGGATCATGGCGTGACAAAAGACTTCGGAGAAAGGAACTTGACCCGTCAGCTTGATACCAAACATGACCATACGAGCGACCCAGAAGAACAAAATATCCCAGCCGGTCTCCAGCAACGACGTGGGGTAAAACTTCTTCATGTCCTCGGTCTAGCACAAAAAAAAAAAAAAAGGTGAGAAATCTATTGTTTTGCCATCTCCCTTTTCCCTCTCAATTCCCAATTTTTTTTTTTTTTACATTGTCGGGCCAACCCATGAGGGAAAAGGGCCACAGGCCAGAGGAGAACCAGGTATCCAAGACATCAGGGTCCTGTTCGAGCGTGAATGCCTTGCCGGGGAACTTTTGCTCGGCCTGGGCGCGAGCATCGGCCTCGGACGCGCCAGAGACCCAGAATTCACCGTCGGCATAGTCATTGTTGCCGCCCTCGAGCTTGACAAAGTAAGCGGGGATGCGGTGGCCCCACCACAATTGGCGCGAGACACACCAATCTTGGATGTTATTGAGCCAGCGGAACCAATCGCCCTCGGAGACCTTGGGGGCGATCTTGAGCTTGCCATCGGTGACGGCCTGCATGGCATCCTTGGCCATGGGACCGCAATTGACCCACCATTGCGGCTTCATGAGAGGCTCAATGACATCGCCCGATTTGCTGCAAACAGGGACCGTCATGGGGTTCTCCTTGACACCGACAAACAGGCCCAAGGCCTTGAGGTCCTCAATGATCTTGGCGCGAACGTGGAAGCGCTTCATGCCTTGGTAAGGGCCGGCATTGTTGTTAAACGTGCCATCGTCATTAAGAATGTTGATAAATTCGAGATTGCAGCGCTTGCCGACCTCGTAATCGTTGAAATCGTGCGCAGGCGTGATCTTGACAGCACCAGTACCAAATGCCATGTCGACGGCAATGTCGTCCGTGACAATGGGGATGCGACGCTCGAGGAAAGGATGCTTGGCAAACTTGCCGTGCAAATGCTTGTAGCGGTCGTCGTCGGGGTGGACGGCAATGCCCGAATCACCAAGCATCGTCTCAATACGCGTCGTCGCAACAACAATGCGCTCGTCGGAGCCCTCAATTTCGTAGGCAAACTCGTTCAAAACACCAAATTCGAACTTTTCCTTGTCGTCGTAGCCAGGAACGCCCATGAGCGTGCGTCCAGCAAGCTCCTTGTTCTCGACCTCCAGGTTGGACAGCGCCGTGTTCAGGCGAACACACCAATTGACAAGGCGATTCGCGCGATAAATCGTGCCTTCGCGATGCAGACGAACAAACGTCTCGACAACAGCCTTGGACAATTTCTAAGAGGTAAAGAAAAAAAATGAGTCATGCGGTCGCGGGTCCATTTGTTTTTTAAACATTGTGGTTTTTTTTTTTTTTCTTACAGGATCCATGGTAAAAGCAACGTGATCCCAGTCAAACGAGGCACCCAGGCGGTTGAATTGCTCATGGATGCGATTACCATACTTTTCCTTCCACTCCCAGACCTTTTCGATAAAAGCATCGCGGCCGAGGTCATGGCGCGTCTGCTTGGTCTCCTTCCACAACTTCTTTTCGACAACCGATTGGCACGAAATGCCTGCGTGGTCGGTGCCGGGGTTAAACAGGACCGTCTTGCCCTGCATGCGATTCCAGCGGATCAAAGTGTCCTCAATGGCAACAGTGAGCGCGTGGCCAATGTGCAGCGAGCCCGTGACGTTGGGAGGAGGCGCCGCAACGACAAACACGCCCTCGGGCTTGATCTCGCCCTCGGGAGTCAACGAAGGCTTGAAAAGGCCCTCCTGCATCCACCAGTCGTACCATGCAGCTTCGACAGCCTGAGGATTGTAAGAGCTGGCCATCGGCTCGCTCATATCTATGAAAAAAAAAAAAGAACCCATTGAGCGTCTCAGTGTCTAGCAAAAATCATCTTTTTTTTTTTTTTTTTTTTACCCTTTTTCTCGCCCTTGGGTGTCGTGTTCACAAACGCCGGCGCCTCCGTCTTGACAGCCTTCTTCTTCTTCTTGTCGCCATTCGCAGCTTGCTGCTTCTTTTGCTCTTCCAGCTAAACAGTGCAACTTTTTGTGAGCTGGGCCCTGTTTTTCTTTTCTTTTTTTTCTCTCTCTCTCTCTTTTTGTCTTGTACCTTGGCCTGCTTGGCCGCAAGCTTGGCCAACTTGGCACGACGCTTCTCTTCGTTGCGCGCCTCGTTCTTTGCCTTCTTGGCGGCAGCGGCAGCAAGTTCTTCTTCGGTCAGTTGCTTGGGAGGTTGTTCTTCAGCCATGGTAAAAAAGCAAAAAAATAAAATAAAAACAAGTGAAAAAAAGGAACTCAACTTGCCCAGAACGGGGCAGACCTTTATTTTTCTCATATTCAGCCACCGTCGTCCATTCAGGAGTCCCCAAAAAAGGCAACTGTCACCCGTCTCAGGAGAAAAATGCCGAACCCTGCTGCGACAGCCAGTCAGAGTGACTACAAAACAAGAACCTGACACGCACAACGGCCCCCTCCCCCGTGGAAAATATTTTTACGGGCCTAATCGTCGCGCAAACAGACAATGACAACAAATCACTCATCGCAAAAAAAAAAAAAAAAAACTGGGCCTCTTGGTCCCACATGAAGCGCAGCAAAAAGTGTCACAAAACAGACATTTACACTTGCCATTGTCATCCTGATGACCAAATATGACCACAAAACGCGAGGATTGCCGGCTCTGTTCCGATTTTGACACGCTTTTAGGCTAGTTTGGCTTTAATCGCGCCGAATTCAACGGCAATTCCCTTTGGCGCCATGCCGACGCGTCCATCAGCAACTCGCGCACAACATGAATGAAATCGTCTTCAAATACAATGAGGCACGAATGGTACTGGAGCGCATTGTAGCATGAAATCGAAAATCACGGTAAAAAAAAAAAGCAAAGTGCATTTCTCTGCAGCCAGCACAATTGTACTCGTTCACAGACATCAATGCGCACAAAATATAAAAGACACGCCATCACTTTTGGCAAAAGGGGAGGCAAAAAAAAAAAAAAAAAAAAAGGAAATGCAAGCAAAAATGTTTCCAGCTGCCATTAAACGACTAAAAAATGAATGCCTTCGAGGAGATTTGAACTCCCGACCTTTAGTTTACAAGACTAACGCGATAACCCCTACGCTACGAAGGCTATTGGATGCTAGGACAAATAAAAACACATCAAAAATGAACATTTCGGCTAAATTATTGGGCCGCAAAATAAAGACAACCGATTGGCTCATTAAAAAATAAAGTTGCTTGGTTGGTGCGGCCTTTTAATCGTCTTGTAGTGGATGCCATCATGATCCGTCGCCTTTGACAAAAAAAAAAAAAAAAAAAAAAAAAAGTGTCTTGCTGCCAAACGTGATGGAATTACAAAACGAGGCCGCGTGTCTCCGCATCCCATTAGCTGACTGCACAAGAGATGAGCTGCTTGTATAGAAATTTTGGCAAACGAGCATTGAAAAGCATGCGAAGGGGAATGCAATTCATGTGAATGACGTCGTCTGGCGCGATCGGATTGAGTCCCTTTTTTTTTTTGGGATCGCCAGGTTGCGATTGATCAAGAGCAGCACAAGTTGTCAAAAAAACACACGTAAGGGACTCAACCATGCTGGATTTCGTCATTTTGCATCTGTTCGCGCGTTGGACATGGCATGATAAATGAGGACGGTCCGTTTTTATCAAGACGACACTGGTGGGGTGGCGCATTGTTCTTTTTTTTTAAGATGGCACCAAGGGGCGAGCAAGCGAACCTCATTGTTCAAAAAATAAAATAAAAGAGGTCGCCCCCATTTTTCTTTTTTTCTTTTTTCTCACCTTTTTCTCACTTTTTCCTCGCTTTCATTGTTTTTTTTTCCCTTGTTTCTTGTCGATTTTGTGATTGTTGTTTACTCTTACCCGCAACATGTCCGCGGTATCAATCGATGAGCTCATCCGAGCACGTCTTGACGCCAGTCAAATCTAGGTCCCATACGCGCCCAGCTATTTTTTGGATCGTCTCTCAATCAATCAAGACCCGTCCTTCCGTGATCGTCTCCTTGTTTTTGCAATCAATCACGCGCGTCATTCGGACAAACAGGTGGCCGACCTGCTTTCACCGCAAAAAATCAAGGGCGAGCCCAGCTCTCGCAGCCAAGACGACACATTGTTCTACATCCGCTCGCTCTTGCTCAAGGTGGCGGTCATGCGCGTCATTCTGACTCTGTACGACGAAAAATACAACGATGCGGCGTTTGTCAAGAATTGGGCCCACTACATTGAAAACCTGAGGGACGACGACGTTGTTGCGGTCCGATATGTCGGCATGACTGAGCGCTCCGCGGAGCATCGAGCCCAACAAGACACAGCGGCTGTGAATGGCGTCATGCAGGGCAACTCAAAGCTCGCCAGACGCTATACCAATTTTATGGCGTGTTCGTATGGTTCTTGCCGAAGTCACGCTGTCCATTGTTCAGGTGGATTTGCTCACGGTGACACATCCGCGCTTCCATCCTGGCCGCTTCAAGCTTGTCGATGCCACAGAGCAATTCCTGATCCACCTGCTGGGCCGGGATCTGCTTTTGAACAGTCAGCCCGGCGGCTTTTATCAGTCGTTTGCCGCGGATGATGACGATCTGAGCGCGATCCGCGCGTTGCGACTGGTTCTGGACGCCGCTCCCACAAAAACAGCCATGGAACACAAGCAAGACAAGGAAAACGTGCAGAATGTTCTTGAAAAGCATGTCCCTGGCTTTGCAAACGGCAAAAACGACAATGTACTCAAGACCTTTGTCAAGCAAGCCGTTGGCGAATATGGCGTGGGCGACGGGGCCATTCGTTCGCCAGTGATGGTCATTGGCGACGACAATACCTTTTCTGACGTGAAAACAGGCGAATCCTTCTTTGGTATCAGCCGCGGCGGCACACTCGCCGCGAAACTCATCGGATACGTTCATGGGGCAGCCGAGCGCGCTCCGCAATCAAGCCCCAAGTACCCATTTGCCGACGTTTATCCCACGACAGATCAAAGTGACCTGGATGCCCACATTTTGGCTTTGGCCAAGGTCATCCAGATTGCCCGCCCTGTCGTCATTGTGCCAATGGGCTTCCTTCCAACCGCGATCGCATATTCAAACTTCCATGGCATGTAAGTAAAAAAGAAAAAGGAAAAAAAAAGGAAAAGCAACGTAAAAAAAAAAAAAAAAGCGTCCTAATTTTATTTTTGTAGGCGCGCCCTGGGCAACAACAACTACAGCAGCGTACGCGGCTTGCCCTTCATCTGCAACGTGGACGCGGAATTTGACCTGAATTTGGCCACAAGCAAAGAAGCCCGCGATCTCCATTGTATTGCAATCGCGACGGTGGATCCTGGATTCATCAAGCACGGCCATTGTTCACCTGAAGCAATGCGGTACATGATGCTGGTGTGGGCGCGCGTCGCGCTTATCGAAGATTGCGCACTGAAGGTGATGCAGCGGCCGGATGCCCCTCCTTTGATGACACGCGCAATGTGCGAAGCCGTTATGGACCTGTGGATGTGCCGCGAGGCTGAATGCGATTTGGGTAGTCGAATCGACGACGCTGCAAAATGGCACGACGCCTATGCCCAACAGAACAGAGGTACAAAAGAGAGAGAAAAATGCGAAAAAAAAACGTTCCTGACTCTTTTTTCTCTTTTTTTTTTTTTTTAGACGCGCGCGCAAAGGCCGAGGTGCGCGGCCTTGCGCCCTCCTTCCGAGCCGACCCGGACTTTGAGGCGCACCGCACCGTGGCCAATCGCAAAAGTATCATTGCTCAGGCGGCCCTGGTCGGCCAGACGGTCGGCAAACCATATTCGCCGGAACGCGACCACCAAGCATGTGTGCTGCTGCGTTCCAATTACGCGATTCTGCGCCGCCACCCCCAATTCGACAACAAATCCGTGTGGAAGGCGTGGTTCATGGCCCAAAAAGAAAACAAGTCGATTCATCACTTGTCTGCTGCCCAAGCGCGCTGCGATCCGCTGGTCTTGAGTGACGCGGAAGCCGATTTTCTCGCCAATGAATGCGCCGAGCTTGTTGGCGAGCGCAAGGGTGATCGAGAATGGCTAGTTGACACGGAAAAGGTGCGCCTTGCCCGACATTTGCACAAGAAACAACAAGAGCGCTACCGTGAAAAGAAAAAGAAGGCGATTGAGCTCTTTGTCATGCAAGAAATCGTGGTGACATCCGGCCGCACGTATCACCGAGTGCTCATCAATGGCAAGGAGGAGATGCTGCGCGGCGGTCTGTGGATCAGCGGCTCCAAGGCCTTCAAGAGTGGCACGTACATCCTTGATCTCGACCCCGCCATCGATGCCTCAGCTTTGGTTGTCAAGGACATTGCGGAAAAGAAGCCCGTGCACGACAAGGAGCACAAGGTTCTCAAAGTCACAGAGGAATTCTTGCACCGCCATGCCCGGGACACGTACTACGTCGTTTTCATCAATACGCAGCGCCATCTCGGTCTGCCGGTCAACGAGCGCCTGCTCGACACGCCGCAGTGGAAGCCCGACCGAATCGCACATCTGATTTGGAAGCAGTATCGCAAGGACGGTCCATGCTCCTTTGACACGCACTTCATCTCGGGCAATTTCTAATCACGAGCCCGGCGTGTCATCCACAAAATGGTCGAGCCCATATCCAAAGAAGAAAATGAATTCTGGACAAGTGGCTCAAAACAAAACATGAGGTAAAAAAAAAAAAGAAAAAAAAATGACTCGCGAGACGATTTCTCATGTTTTTTTGGCCAATCAGCGCCATCTCCAAGACATTTACGCGCATCACCAACGGCTTGTTCCATAAGCAAAAAGAAGGTGGAGGCCGTCATTGGATTTTACCTATATTCCCCAAAGACTAGTCCTTCTACCTACTTCCTAAGGGCAGACCCGGGAGACCTTTACGATCTCGCTCTAATTTGAGGTGTGATCTAATACAAAACGTAATTTCATGTTGCCTACCAACGAAAATTAATTTTAGAAATGAATAAACAATATTTGAAAAGACGATGGAAAAAAAGGTGGGGAGACTATTCCTTGGAGTATTTGGGCAAAGTCCAGCGTCGTCCACCCTGTTCTTTTTGTTTTTTGAATCCGGGGCCCATGATACGCGCGAATATTTTTGAGATATCTCTGGATGATATTAAAATAAAAATGAGACCAAGGCTTGCAGGCGTTTTTTTCTTTTTCTTTTTTTTCCATCGTTTTACCTCATGCTTTCCTTTGTGTATGTCGTCCAAAAGTCGTGTTCCTCTTGTGAGATTAAGTCCTCCATTTCCTTGATAACGGCGCGCACTCGTTTGTGGAAATTGCCGCTGATTTCATGCGTGTCAAACGTACAGGGACCCTTTTGGCAATATATTTTTCCAGATCAAGAGTGCAATGCGATCGGCTTTTCCATGGCTCCGTGGCGAAAAGTCGTTCATTGATGCTCAAGCCCAGATGGCGCTGCGTGCGGATGAATGCGGCATAATACATGTCGTGCGCGTTTTTGTGCAAATATTGCTCAAGGATGTTGATCGGCTTGTTGGCCTTGTCGTATGCAGGCTCTTTGGTCTTGGCGTCTTTCAAAACGAGGGCAAACTTGTCAATCGTCGGATCCAAGTCAAGGATTTACGTGCCATTTGTGACCACTTTGGAGCCCGTCACCCAGAGACCGCCGTCGAGCGCCTTTTCTTCGCCATCAACAAGCACCCGCTGATAAGTTCGGCCCGAAGTAATTACTCAAAGAGGACGCAACAGCTGTCGCGGCCGTCATGAAGGGTGATTCCAAGAATGCCACGCGCTATGCCAATTTTATGGCATGCGTTCGCATGGTGCTTCCCGACGCCACGTCGGCCTCTTTGGATTTGCTGACGATGACACGCTCGCGCTTCCATCCCGACTGCGTGAAACTTGTGGACGCAACGAAACAATTCATGGTCCACCTCTTGGGTCGACAATTACTTCTCAACAGCCAGCCGGGCGGCTTCCGTCACTCTTATGCGGCGAACGACGACGATTTCCGCGCAATCCGCGCACTGAGCCGTCATGGACATGTAGAGCCGACGCCAGACCGACACCGAGCGACCTGGGCCTATGAATCAGTGACGCCGCCGAGCGGAGCGATACCTATCTACAGTGCCGTACTGTATTCCCAACAACAGAACATAGGT